CGTGCTGCGGCTGCGGCTCTGCTCTGGCAGCACTGGGCATGGCTGGCTGTGGCACACAGCGCCTGCCGCCTGCTTGGGAACGCTGATCTCAGCTTTAAGGGACAGAAACACAGCAAGTGCTCAGGCACTAGTTACATGAAGGGCTTTGGGCACTTTGCAGCAACAGACAATCGCAGAGACACCACGTCTTGCTAAAATATTTGCTTAAGATTTCTGGTGGAATTGCACCGTTACAAATAGAGAGGCAAGGCGATGGCAAACTGATTCCCCCCCCCAGAGAAGAGCCCCACACATTTGCAGACAAGTATGCACATGCCCCCTGGATATTCTCAGCCCCCAAAGATTCCAGCCTGACTTGCCTGGCTTGCTCTGGACCACTTGGCATGTGATAGCAGCCGCACACATTTGGCAGAGACATTTTTAGAAACTTCCAAGCTATGAATTCACCCTTCCATTTTGGTAAAGCCAGTTATGTGGAAAGCATTTCAAAAGCAGAACTTCAAATGCAGAGTTAATTTCTCCTCAATTCTTAGGAGAGGGAAGAAATAATAATAATATTACACTCTTAATTTATTTTCCCACAGAGTTATCCTGTAATATTTCTGTATTTGCTGACACTATAACCAATAACGAAATAATTGTAAGTCAAATCAAATCAGCCTTTTCAGCACAGTTACACTGTATGTAAAAACTATTTCCAATTCTTTCCCTCAGGTCCATGTTTTATTGCAATCACTAAAAGGTGATTTTCCCTGAAAACATACATCCGACTAAGCACCTAGGAAGTGACCTTCATGCTGCGTGCTCCAGGGATGTACTGGGGAATTGCCCATGACCCCAGCCATGGCAACACGGGTCCCCGGCAGGTGCCTGCTGCTGCCCATGGGCTTTCCACTGCGGCCACATGGGAACGGAGACCAGGATCACATCTGCATCCCCAGCCCATCAACCACCTGCTGGCAACACAGCCAAATACCTGACGGCACTGTCTGGCTCCTGACGCACTGAGGGTCAACTTCCAGGCATTTTCCCTTTTTCCACAGGTGTGGAAGCAAACCGATCACAGTAGGTTGGACTCCATTGGCAGGACCTGACATGGACTCTCAAAAACCAGCAAGCTTCTGTGATTCTAAGCTCTAAACCTCCAAATCTGCTGAGGCACCGGAATCGCCCCATCCTCATTCCTAAGTGGCTCCAGCCACACAGCAAACCACCCATAGTCCTGTAAAGGGCTTCAGCCCCCTTTGCAGAGGGCACAGGTAGTTCACCACCACGCAGCTGATGAGCAGGAGTTCATTAACCCACAGCTGCTTGATTGCTACCAGCTGCCTGCCTCAGCCCCTGGACACCAGGGCAAGGAGATTTCAGGCATTTTTTAAGCTCATAGTAGTTCCTCCCGCCTTGTCTTAAAGGAATGTTACTCTTCAAAGGAAAAAGATTTTCACTCTAACTGTTTTGTGACAGTGAATCCCACTGTCAGCTTACAGGAGCACATCGGATACCTGCTGCCTGGGGGTGAGGAACAGCCCAGGTAGTGACAGGAGCGCCCCTGTTTGCCTTCACTTGCATGAGAACCCTGTGGTACAGCCCTGAACACTTCTCCAGAGCCCTTTTTATTTCTTCCTCTCTAAAGCTCCCCAAACACCTTCTGCAGCCCTGGAGCTCCTGGTCTCAGGTGGGCTCCAACCCTTGGTCCCCCAAGTCACGCCTGAGCCCAAAAGCACAGAGGGAGCAGAGGCCATCCTCTTCTCACCACCCTGATGGGTCTCCTGCACTTGTCAGGGAAAACACAGAAGGGTGAAGCTAAGGGAATGCTACTCCCTTCCAAATAAATAGATGCCAGTTTTTTGCCCTTCACAACATGACCTTGGGCATGCAGCAAAAGCAAGACTCTGAGACACACCATCCTGTGCAATTCAAACCCCATCTTCATATTCAGAGGTGGCCATGGAGACCAGTGGGCTGCCACAAGAGGCAGAAGATGCAAATATATATCCTTTGCAGACACAGAAGAACTGCACAGGCCCAACTTTCCACGCTCCCTGGATAAACATTGCGTGTATCAGACAACACAAAGCCAGGTACAACCACCTCCTCTTCCCACCACACTGCTCCTGCTCACTTATCCAAAAGATCAGATATTGAGACCTACCTTCAAGCCAGGAGCAAGGTCCGTAGGTGAGGAGCAAGCCAGACACCATGCTGCAGCCTGGAGGGAGGATGTTTGAGCACACCCACTCAGCCACCCCCAGCTGTGGGCCATATGGGCTGATTGAGGCATCCCACCCTGCCTAGGAGGGATCCATGGCACCTACCATGGCTCTGGCTCTGCTCCAGCACCCAGCCACCAAGCCAGGGGTGCCGAGACACTCCTTAGGGTGGTTGGCTCCACATATTAGAGAGGGTGCTTCATTAAATCACCCTTCTTTACTCGGAGAGGAAGTAACATTTATCTCGCTTTCTCCATTGATTATTTCTTTTTAGGTCTGTGGCCCATCAGGAGCCTGGATGCTTTCTGGCTTCCTATGGAAGGAAACAGTTCAAGTACCAAGCGCTGCCGATCGACTGTTGCATCCTGCGGAGGATTGCTCTCTTCCCCTCTCCTAGAAGGTCCAGTTATCCTTGATCTTTTTTGACTTATTTGCCTTGTCTTTCAGGACTGTAAATTGACAGTTTATACAGAGCAGTAGGTATGTTTACAAAAGGACTAGATTTTTTTTTTTTTTTAATTAAATCTGGATGCCACAGAAAGCAAATACCATAAGGAAGGTCCTTTAAAGTTATTTTTTGCCCTCAGAGTGTCCCAGCAGGTCAAGGCCTGAAAGGTAAAATGTCAGTAACAAGATGAGAACAGGGCAAAACCCAAGGCGTTCAGCAGCAGTACTTTTATTTTCGCCCAAACTGGTACATCACAATCCCCATCCAAAAAGATCGCCCCTTTAAAACTTTACTGAAATTCTCGGCACTGTGAGAAAGCTGCTGCTTTTTTTAAGGTTGATCTACATTCTGATGGGAGCCCGTCGCAAAGATAAACCCAGTGAAACTTCCTGCCGACGGTCGCGCTGCATCCCTGCTCACAGCAGAGCGCTCTCCTCTGCTCAGCGTCCCCCTATCTCAGAGATTAGCAACAACCTATTTTTATATTGCGTCCGCATGAGGGAGGAAACACTGAGGCAGCGAGTGTCTGACCACCTGCAGGTACTGCGTTTCAGAAAGACAAGGCTGTTTTCAAGCTGGCTGAAAAAAATAAAGCTGCACTGCTGCATCTGTCCCAGGAGCAGTCCGTAAAAAGAGAATTTTATGGACTGCTCTGAAGTTGCATAAAATGGCACCGTACTGCTGGTTTGGAAAATAGGAACTGCTGCACAGCAATTCATTTGAAATGTATTTATAATCTAAATAATCTTCATGTCTTAATATTATTTGTATTTAAAGCCGTATTTTCCAAGACTGGAGGGCAGGTGGACATGCTTTTATCACCCTTTGTAAGTTTGTACACATCTGTGCAGAGGGGCACAGGGATGGCAGGAGCCTGACGCGAGGGATGATACCCGTGAAATGCAACAGCCAGCATCACTGAGCTGGACCAAACTCGCTCCACTGCGGTCCCAAGTTGCCAACTACACAACGCTCTCCTTGGTTAGCAGTCTGCTCATCAAGGGACTTCATCCAAAGCGTTGACGTTGTGCAATGTATCTTTGTTAAGCAGAGTAATTTATCTCTTATTCAAAACCGTAACACGCACATTGTCCATTTATTTCAATCTTTCTGTAATCCTGTATCTCAGGAAAGGCTGTTAAGGCTGCACTGAAATACAATGAGTAAATGACATTGAGAAAGCCACATCCACACTACCTAGTCTGCATATCACAGGGCTTGCAGGGCATGAAAAGGCTCCCGACTCCCGTGCAGTAGTGCCCTCTGCGGGAGGTCCTCATCCTAGTGCAGCGGTTTCCAAATCCCTCATCACTACATGCTCAGGGATCAACTCTTCTGGCAGAGCCCTTGGTTTTGAACTCGATTACCAATTCCAACTTCTCGTGTTTTTGCACATAGCCATGCAGTCACCACTTCAACTGTCCCGTGCTCCGGTTTGGATTACGACAAACTACTGTCACTTCTCTATTTAACCAAGCTTGTGGCAGCTGCCAGCAAAAGGGTAACCTCTGACTACCGACAAGATCTAGTACATGAACGTTACAATGACAAGATAATCGCCTGGTCACCTCTTTTTTCTGAATGTACTATTGAGTACTAACTACAGAGGTAACCGAGCCTCAAATTTCACATAAACTTACATACTGCCATTTGCTTGACATCATATTTCTTAGAAGTAAACTTTTTAAAAGGCAGTGCTACATATATCCTAACTACTATTAAGGCAGTATTTAACCATTCTGTGAGAGTTTCCTAAACAGAACATCAACTTCACCAGGCAGCTCTGAAGAAGCAATGAAACAATTTCCAGAGGAGAAGGCAACATCAGTTTTAAGCACATTGCAGTGCAGGCTTTGGTACCTTAAGGTACTAAATGGAGTGTGGCAGGTTGGTACTGAACTTACTAAAGCAAATCAAATGCCATTAGTAAAGCACAAGAGACAGGGAAGGTAATAATTGTAAAAGATTTTACTAACTGAGAAAAGGTCAACCGTATGAGCAAGAAAAACCTTCAAACGTACAGCTTGGCAGTATTTTGCAAAATATAAAGTGGAATTTTATAAAGAAAAGGAGCAAAACCACTTCTGATTTCAACAGATTGGCAATGTAATTCTCAAATACACTGTGTGAATTAATAATAACAAATGGGGCTCCCATTTCTGCTTTGGTCAGAGCCCTCTCAAGGCCAGAGGCACGGAGCCAGACTGCATGTGTGCTGTGCTCCCAGAAAAAACAATCCATAAGCAACCATTGCTGTCAAGTATTAAGCAGAATTTTTACACTGGAAGTTATTCAGGCTCTTTCAATCCATTAGACTTTGTTTTTAAACAAAACTCATTACATGGATACAATAAATAGTTTATTAACGGAATGCATGTGAGTTTCTCTCGTCCATCCTTCCTCTTACTCTCAGCACCGTACACACTGACGTCAAAGCAGCTTCCAGTCCAAGCCAAGGACAAAAGTTAATTTCAAGGCAAAACAAAGAGAGGTTGAAAGTTAAGACCGGCACCTTTGAGTGCCTCGTTCCTCAACTGTTTGTCTGGTTCCACAAACCTACAGGGAAATGGGTTTCTTCTTTCCATACCTTGATCTACCTGCTTCTTCCCAACTCGTGCTCATTTTAGCTCTTCTTAGGCAGGTCGCATGCTCCACGGGGACAGTGTAAAGTCATGCCTGCTCTAATGCTCTTTCAGCTATTGCAATATCCCTTTATTAATTTATTTAAAAGTCCTGCTGTTATTATGCCATCTCTTTCTGATCTTTCGTAATAGTTCAGCTTTGGAATTTTACAAAAATGGAAAGAGCCTTTTTTTCAAAATATAGAGCACCGTGGCCAGGAATAAGGCAAGGGCGAGAAAGATGAGCAGCTTGTCTGTCAGTTCCCTGCGATTGTACTTTGTTATCAGCTTTCGCCCCAGCTGAATTGTCCCAGACATGGATTTAAATTCTTCATTTGCTTCCAGGATGGTTCGTGAAGAATTGGCTGAAATTAAAGGGAAAAAAAAAAATTCAGCTGGTTGTGCTTCAAGAATATATGACAAAGGATATACATGCGCAATATTTGGCAATACAGACAGTGCCCAAGATCCTCCTGGGCCACACTGACTTATGGGTAAGGCAAATGCAGACTGTGTTCTTGCAGAAGCTTTCACAACTCAGTAATCCTGGTGTGCTAAGGAAAAACGCAAAGCAAAATAAGAGTACTGAATGGCTTAAAGGCCCTACGTCCTGTCCCTGAATTTTTAATTTTTAGGTTACCAGGTCAAATCTAGTTCACATTTTTTATGAACAAAGTCAGTGCTACCTGAGAGCTCGCTGGAAGCAGAGTGAACTAAGAATGGTGCTAGAACCGCCAATTTAGGGAGAGAAACCACCATCACTATCAGCATCAATTCCAGCAGCAACATATATTTGAATATATTATATGCACAACTGAAACTGTTCCCCTAAGCCAGAGCAGTAAATCAGTGCAATGCAGATGGGGTTGCAGAAAGTGAAAAAACAGCACACAGCAGTAAGAGATCCCTAATTATTCAGGTCAAAAAATTTAAACAGTTTTTAATAGTTATTTTTGACAAACAGTTTTTTTTTTCCTAATAAAAGAGAAATTCAACTAGAAGAAAAGCGTGTTGGTTGGTCTTAACTAAAGACAGAATTTGAGAATATGCCAAAACAGAAAGATGGAACATAGGTCCCTTTCAACTTTTTCTGTGAGAAAACAAACAAGCAAGCAAGCAAGCAAACACTCCAAACTCCTCAGCCTTCCTCCTTTCAAATTACTAAATGGAAGCAAAAGTCCAGGAGTCCCCTTTTTCTTATATTACAGAATGCATACCCTGTACGACACTGAATGCTGGTATATTGCACTATACTGAACCGACTGTTAAAGAAAGGTCAAACTCCAAGCATGTTGTCTGGTTCACAAAAAGAAGCCCAGCAGAAATACATCTGTAATATTTTGCAAACCATTACGTCCCGTGTCAAAGAGGCATTTTGATCCAAGTGAAAACAGAAAAGTTGTTTCCCAGCATTAATGACAAAGCAGAGCTTCCCTGCTTCACAGCTGCATATATTCACTGCATGCTAGGAAAGGACTTGCTCAGAAAAAAGGGAATTCTAACTACTGATTCAGAATTTGCAGCTGGGTTTTGTAAATGAGCTTTGATAGTTTTCCCCTGATGAACTCCAAGTGCTGTTCAGTCAGAAACGGGGAGAAAAAGTGTCTGCCAAACTGTCTTTTTAATGGGAGAAAAAACATGCTACTTCTGCATGAACAAACTGTGCCCAGCTGCCATCCTCAGATGGGGGCAGAAAACAAGGAGGGCAAAAGTTGTGTTATTTATCCTCATCTTTAAACTGTTCTCTCTTCTGCCCAAAAGCACAGCTAGCAAGAGGCCCAGGCAACACAGATCCAACTTCTAAATGCTTCATGAATCACCAGTTCTGACAGGTCACTTGATTTATTGTCTTAGGAGTCTAAGCCAAAGAACTGGGTGAAATCTTGGTTTCACAGTCCCTGATGCACTGCTGACAGAGCAAGTGACCTCGGGTTCAAGTCACTTGATCTCCTCGTCTCTTACTCATCCCAGCTGGAGACTGGGTGCAAAGAGTCTTCCAGCCACACTAAGTTTCCTCTGTGCATGGACTTGTACCTACGCTTTTATTTTCTCTATTACCATATGCATGCCAGGACAGCAGCAGAGTAACACCAAACACGCTCTTCACACCGCGTGAACTCACATTGCTTTTACAATTGCTTTAAGCTTTATTATGAAGCTAAAACAAGAGCTCCTCATCCTGCCCCTTTTTCCTTGTTTACTCATTATCATGAAACAGAAATTCTAGCAAACAGCTCCACACAACATACATTATTATTTTCTATTTATACCCAACTGTTAAAGGAGTTCTGCTGGTCGGCCCTTCAATTATCATCGTAGTTCGTTCTCCTGCAGCAAAGCAGGTTTCCACTGTGCTCAGTTTGCCTCTCCCCATCCTAACAGAACTGGCACCTTTTGGTGCTCCAATCATCAAAACCACACCTCAACACCCAAATAACATCTGTACCTAGGGTCTGCACAGTCTCCTCACTCTGCTGGACTTGCTGTGACATCATCCTGCTAATGCCCATCAGACTCTCCGTGATGTTACTTGCACTCTCCGCCAGACTTTCCTTTGTAGTCTTCCTGAAAAAGAAAGGGAAAAAGTAAAGCAGGAAGGGATAAAATTATGTCCTTGGGTACTGCAGGGGAAAATGCTGCTGCCAGGGAGCTTAGAACAGAGCTTGGCACCAAACATCTCTGCCAATGTACAAAAGACACCACCAGTTTTTACTGCATGAGAAATTCATATTACCTTCAGTAAACAATAAAAAAAAATAAATCACAAAATATTTAAGTCACGAGACAAAACAACTGCTAGTGGCTCAGACTGTCACAGGGGCTCACATTTCACCACTTATTCATCCATGACTGTGCAACTCCACGAGCTGGCATGGAAGCACTGATACAAACTACCACTTTATTACCACAGGTATCCCATTCGTTGTTCCATGATACTAAATACACCAACTCTTCAATACAGAAATTACATAAGCTTACATCCAATTTTGCATGTGAAAACAGCTTGCATAGATCCATTACTTGTTTACAACCCTGACTGAAATTAACATAAAAGGTGGTCAGAAAAACTAGGAAGGCTAACTTATCCCCTTTCCTGCTTAGACATGCCAACGCCAAGAAAACCCGAAATTATCACAATCCTTTAACAGTTTAAATCTCCACAAAAGGTAAATGCACTCATAAAAGAAGAGCTATGTGCCAGATACAATCAAGTAACTTAAAAACATTACACCACTTCCATTTAAAACTACTGAATATAGCATACACTGTTTAAATCTCAGATCGTACAGTGGGATGGTCTAATACCTTTGTCTTAAGGAGTCTCTTCCCTGCAGCAGCTGATCTTTCTCGGAGTTGTCGATAGCAATTTTGCAAGCTAGATTTGCCTTTCTCCAAGCTGCCTGGTTGCTGAAATCACAACAGTACAATGTTGTAACACAATGGTAACACCTCACAAGCAAAAACAATTTTCACAAAGCAATCACCACTGTAACTGAGCGCCCCAGATACGTGCATGGACTTTCTCTATATTACACCACAGAGCAACAATTTACTGTCCTGTCATTTCTTCTCTTCAGTGTATCATTTATGGAGCAAGGGAAGAAAACTGTGCCAGCTGTCAAACGACAGACCCTCAAGCCACCTACTTACATGCTCAGCTGCTCAAAGGGACAGACCACGGTCAGGGAGTCAGGACAGGGGAGCGGAAAGGAGAAGGGAGTCCTACCCCTTCCATCCCTGACACTCCCTTGGTCTTGGGCAAAACAGCATCATGTCAGTGACCGTATTTGCAAAAAAAGGATCCGAACGACGCTGTACAGAAGTCAGATTATCTCTGGTTACAGGGGACCCGTAAACAGCACCGGCTGCCCGGCCCACCTGAGCATTTGTTTCTTATGGTTTTCCACTTCCCGCAGTAGGGCTTGTTTCTCCGACTCTTTATCTTGCTCCTTCGCCATCTGTTCGAGCTCCTTTGGCGGAAAGCAGAAACGTGAGGATCTCGTCAACAACTGCTGCCACCTGCAACTCGCACACCCCACGCCCGGCCGGGGAGCGAATTAGCAGCAGACCGCCCACCCCAACGAACGCCCCACGGCCGGGGCTCCCCGCCGCCCCCAGGCCGCACGCCGCGGG